TAATTTGTTCAAACAACACAATTGAGACAAGAAACCATGACTAGTGATTTTATAGTTATTTTTGAAGGACTTGTATTTAATTAAAGTATTGTTTCCGGTTGATTTAAAATATTTGAAAAATTGCTTTTTCATCAAATTGATATAGTTGTCGACCAGGGATTGGTTAGCATTTGAAATGATATTAGATAAAGATTTTATACTCAATATCACGCCACGAAATTTCATTGATTAATTTACACAATTTTTAGTTTTTCCTATCAAATCTTATCTTATTATACAGGGTGTTTGGTACATTGATAGGAAGTTTCGAATGAGTGATAGTTGGGGTCATTTGGGAGCTGATTGTCCACATTCACCCAGCATTTTAAGATATATTTGGCAAATATTTGAATTGTTCCTAAAACTTTGACCTTTCTCAATTTTTTTTCCGATATTCCTAATATTCTCTCTTTCGGTAAAATACGGAAAGAAAAACCGAATGATTGATACAAAAAATATATAGCCCAAGCTATATGTCAAAATACATCGATTCAAAAATGGCGATATCTCAAAAACCGGCGAAACTTTGCAAATGACCCCAACTATCACTTATTGAAATCTTCCTATCGATGTACCAAATACCCTGTATTTAGACAAAGTTGTCTTTCCTGACAACTATACAGAAGAAGAAGGCAGTTTCTTTAACCTGTAATCCTTGAAAAGTTTAATTTTTTATAGCTCAAGGTTATTTTTAAGGTTTTTCATTCATTAATCGTATAGTAGGTACTGACATCCTCGTGGCAAAATAAAATGCCAATCAAAATATTCAATAATTCTTATTACAACGTAATTAAAAAGTTAGGTACCCACTTCAGTAAATTAATGTCTACTGATAAAAAAACCAGAACTTGTGATAAGTCCAAAATCCAAAATCAATCATTCAAAATAATCAATCAATTAAAATAAAAAAATAGTTGATAAGTAAATTATTTTAATATTTTTAGGATTGTCATGTAGGATGTAGGTACCTATGTTTTAATTGCTTTCACTATTTTTATAATAATTTTTTTCTACAAACGTGTTAAAAATGCAATTTTTAACACCGCCCCGAAGCATTAAAAATGTTACTTTATCGCACTAGTGCCATAAAGTCTTTATAGCACTAGTGTTAAAAGTGAAACATCAAATTTTGAGAGCGGACGTCAAAAAAAGTTTGTATTTTCAGTTATTTACATTGATAATAATGGTGAAATTTGAACAACTGAGGTAGACCGATTGGCCGCCTCATCTATATTTGTCGAAGGATCGATGCAACTCTCTTTTTCTTCTGTATTTTGTTGCATTTTTAGCAAAAAGCATTCCTGACCACGACATACTTTCAAGAAACTGACAAGACATTTCGTTACCTGTAAAACAAGGTGCTGGTTGTATGGATTTTTTGACAAATGTCAAATTCAAGAATTTTATGTAGGAAAGATGCTTCCAATTTATTATTCATTTAAAAATCCAATTTGTTAGTGGTTATTGCTTTTTATTGCCGTTTTTAGAAAAAATATTGTATGATATTTGTGTTAAAAGTATTTTTAAGGCACTTATGTGAATTGCAGAATGAGCGAAGCGAAATTCTTGAATTTGACATTTGTCAAAAAATCCATACAACCAGCACCTTGTTTTACAGGTAACGAAATGTCTTGTCAGTTTCTTGAAAGTATGTCGTGGTCAGGAATGCTTTTTGCTAAACTTTCACATGCGTGCCTTAAAAATGTACTTTTAACACTTATATCATAAATAACTATTTTGTAAATATTATGTACCTACTTATAAAAATAAAAACGCCTAATCATTCTTGTAGCTTCTTAAGACGGAATAGGCTTGACAGCAAAAAAATACCAAATTCTCAGTATACAATTACTTAATTAACTGAAGCAGAACGGATCTTGATACTTGGTGCTGGGCCTATTATTTTAAATAACAGTGTCGTACCAAAAACATCAAAAAGCTGTACCTATTCTTTCATTGTTACTTATAACAAATTCAAGTACCTTTGAATGTTTCAACTTAAGGTGGGTTTAGCCAACGTGGATAATTTAGTGCATAATGCGTAATTCATAAAGTTGACTAACTTTTACGAATTATCGATTATGCATTGTGCAAAAAACGCTAGTGCGCAAGCGTAGATATATTAATTGTTATTTCCAACTTTTTTTTTGTTTTGGTTTTGCTTCATAACCTCGAAATCTTGTTGTCTGTTTTCCTGTTGTTTCCAATGGTTTTTGATCTGGAATCGAGTTTTTCCGTTTTTAATTATACAAATGGGATTTTTCCTGATAATATAAAGCCTAATTTAAAACTATATTTAATTATTTATTATTTTATGAAAAATAACAAGTGTCAAAACTCAGCTGTCTTGTCAGTTCCTAATGCACAAATTCTGCGCTGTATAAACACCTCTTTTCTCTTATGCATTACGCGTTATGAATTACGCATTATCAATTATGAATTAAAATTGTGCATTATCCATTTAGTACAGGAAACGTAGCAGCTTATTATAGGCCAACCTAGAACAAATTAGAGACAAGCTAGTTTTGGTGGAAATCGACAAGGAATGACTAGTAGTATAACATACTAAAAGTCCCATTTGGTAGGATTTTGCCAAATAGGAAAAAAACGGCCCCAAACTTTACATAATATGCACCAATTTTTGTCCATAACCATATCGATACAGCGGTAATAGTATAGACTATACACCTAGGGACGAAAGTGGTACTTTTATCTAAAAAACACTTTAGTCCTGAGGTGTATACCTACACTATTTTATGTACTTTAGAGGAATTGAAAGTACACTCTTAATCCCTAGGGAATAGGGATTAAAAGAACCCTTTTATTCCGTTTCATTTAATCCCTGGGAAATAAAGTAAAAATTTAATCCCTTGGGAAATGAAGTGAAATTTAATCCCGAGGATTAAAAGACCCACTTCACTCCCTTGAGAGGGTACTTTTAATCCCTAAAGGGCATAAATTAATTTTTCCTATTCCAAAAATCCGTGAAGTTTCAAATTTCACAAATCTCAGTACCTACATAGAAGTTTATTCGAAACGTTACCTATCTAGTTTTTATTTTCTAGTGACTTATGTATAAAAAATATAAGTAATTCGCGCCAGGCAATATGTTAATAATTTACGAAGCTAGAACTTTTGCAGAAGGCATGTCTGTCTATTCTAAGAAAGAATTCTCAATTGTTTCAAGCACTTACTTCATTTTATGCAGAACATGCTTTGAAATCAGAAATTTTGAAAGTCGGTATAGAGTTTTATTTACTCAGGTTATGCCAAAGTTATGCCAAAACTACCTCAAGCCAAGTTTGAATGAAGTTTATATCATAGAATCACTTCAATACGCAGGTAATCTCAAGTCAATTAAATTTAGTCGTGCTGCCTCCTACAGAAAAAGTGGCAGAACAACATCTACTGAGAGTTTATCATCAGGTAAATCGTAAATCAATAAAAAGCATTTTAAAATGAATAACTAAATTAGTTCAAATTTTGAATAATAAAGTTCAAGAATGGCTGGGTAATCGTCTGGATCTTGCAACATGCCCATGGGGCTGGGTAAAAAGCGACAATCGTAACCTAATTCCAAACAAAACGAAACAAGAAATAGCACCACTCAATTTGGGTAATCAACTTTTTCGTAACTGCAAATAGAATGCATGGGGACGTAATTGTTTATGTAAAAATTAGGGCATTAGGTATTCCCCTATGTGTGGCCATTGCTATGGAACTACTTGTACCAATGCGGTATTTGAAATAGAAGAAGACGAAATTATTGACTTTTTATAAGTTTTTCATCCAATTAACTCATATTAGGCTTTCTTGTTTTTGGAACACAAAATATGTGAATCAAACCCTTTGCAAATCAAAATTTTTAATATTTTTTATGTCATACCAATACATTATTGTGTTTTATACCTTAGATACCATCTACATAATTCATTACTTTATGCCCGCACGGGCATAAAGTACACATTATGGCCCGCACGGGCATAAAGACGCAAAAAACAAGTTTTCAATTAATTTATTCTTTATTGACAAAATATAAATTTACGCTTATAAACATATTATTTTTGTGAAAAAATTATGATGTTTGCACATTGATGACAATTTGCGAAGTGACACTTTTTTCCCAGGTATTTATTATTCACAACCAACTGGTATGACATAAAAGTTTGTATGCACCACGGGTACTAATAGATATAATGTTTGTTTTTTTTTTTAAAGATAAAAGTCAAAATGACATTATGTTGGCAATACAATGTAAAATTGTGAAGCTTTCAAATTTTTTATGTTGAAAAGGCTTGTGTTGCCAACATAGTTACTAAATTTTTGACTTGGGGAATTATCTTTAAAAAAAAAACAGACTTTATATACCCTCGGGCGACTGTCGCCCTCAGGGCATAATCATCTACTTAGTACCCTTGATACATAAATAACTATTAGGTACCCTATCATTTTAAAATTGTGTAACTTTTCTATTTTTGAAGCTACAAATAGTTATTTTATACCAAAATATCCGCATTTTTAAGCCCTGTAAATAAAGTATCCACACAATTTTTCCAAAAAGCATCAATAAAAAAGTTATTCAATAAAAACTGAAACTGGCGGATTTTTTTTCTTCAGATTTATCATGCTGAGATTGGATGGGACTTTTAGCATGTTAAAAAGGACCCTTTTTCCTACACATTAAAAAAAAAAGTAGCTTGTCTCTAATTTGTTCTACCCCCAACTACATATTGCCTATACTAATTACCAGTTGGCAAAACCCACCTTTAACGTTGCAGAAACTATCGAAGTTTTACCAATATTTTTAAAAGTTTCCACATTCAAACGACAAGTTTTAGAATGACTATGTTATATTTGATTGATAATAGACTGATGTAGACCACAAAACCCAGTAAAAACCTACGCCTCTGTTCGAAATTCTCCCTCTCAGAATGACCATCCTATGGATCAATGATTTCAATGCGGCCTATATAAAAAGGTTAAAAAACGCGTCATAGAGTAGAACTATTTTGATTCCTGCAAAGATGCCTTCTCCTTGCGATTCCTGCAAAGGTTAGTAAGTCAGTAATATTTGTTTTTGATAGTAGAATAATTAGTAGAAACAATAGTAAATCGAACGTAAATATTTAGGTTTCTGTTTTAATCAATTGATTGAGGTCTTGGTGTATTTTTAGATACGTGTAAAGATGGTAAATCGTGTGGTTCCAATTGCCAATGTGGCCCAGATTGTAAATGTGCCGAGATATCAGGTAAATATTGTTGTTTTACTGAGTATTTTTTTTTGTAAAATCAATTGGAATATTTTTTACTTTCAGGTTCTGGGGGCGACCAAAAATGTTGCGACAAAAAAAAGTAATATTAAATTTTGTATTCTCATGGACTGAAAATATTTATTTCTTGTATTGAAATATAGGTAATATATTGCTTGACTATGTAAGCTTTAACTTTTGTTTATATTATTATCTGATTATTTCTATTACTTCCCTCAAGATTATAAATATTAATATTAATATTAGAAGTGAATGTTAACAATAAGTACCGTCAAACGCTGTACTTGCAACCCGGGGATCACTTATTACAACGATATTAGGTAGGTACTCTAATTTGGGCTCTCCTGTTACCACAGGGTAAATCGTGCCTGCGCTATGAAAGTGTTTTTGTTTATTCTACAGGTGTCCCTTGGAATGTGTGCAAGTAAATCGATCCTGAGTTCTAAATTTGTTGAATTTCGAACTAATGACTAGGTATCTATTCTATTATTGAAGCTAAGTATACTTAGCTCAAAAATTATTGTCAAATAACTTCTTCTACACAGCCCAGGGCTTATTTATGCTACTATTTGTATGGAAATTGATGGAGACGATAATATGCTGGGATACTTTTTCTAAAAAATAGAATATTGTAGTGGGGATTGGGATCTTCTACGTTCTATGTTCTATATAGTGTTTCTTCTATTGAACTAGGTATCTTCTCAGTGTCTGAATTGCCAAGAAAACGGATGTGAGGATATCGATTAAGAAATATATTGAGTAATAGTTATTTACATTACAAAGTGCGTTTATGAACATGATTACAATAACGAATGTGAAAGATTAGAACGACGAGGTCGTAGACCGAGTCGTTCTAATCACACGAGTTTTGTAGTCATGTTAAAATGCACGTGTGACGTAGAACGTTTTATCTACAAATCGAAAAATAAGAATATTTTTGTTTATTAGTAGTTGTCTACCTTTATTTTGCCTTTACAGGTTTAACTTTGACATTTGTCAAATCACCAAAAATAGTTGCTGTAGATTCCTAACCTACTCCATAAACCACTAGTGTTATGAGTCTCATGACATAATAGTATAAAACTGTTTATGTAAAAACATCATAACCAAACGCTTGTAGATAAAAGTGATTACAAAATTAGAAATAATGTGACAACTTGACAAAAGTTTAACACACACTGACATTAACATTTAAAAACCTGCCTAGTAAAAATAGGTAATAACGTTAGTTTTGTTACATTAACATTACTCCCCCTTTACTCCATGAAAACTCCGTAAATGGAGTAACAAGAATTAAATGAATAAAAATACAGAAGGGATAATGTTCCTCAAATACTATATCACTTAACACGTTCGCTGCCAGAGAGATTTCGGTTGATCGGGTCCAAAATGCCAATGTTGAAAAACTATATTTTATCATCGGAATAGGTCTAAATAACATAAGATATTCATCCAAAGTAGTACCTGACCCATATTTTTGCAAAAAAATACCATACCATACCATACCATACCAAGGACTAGCATGTTTGAAAAAAAATTTTTTTTTTGTTCAATCATGTCTGTGTGATATTCTTATATATATCCCGTAGGCCAGGCACCCCCATTAACCTGTATTTACAACGAATATACTCGTATTTGACTTTGAATGACACAATGCAAAATACGAGTCATCTCGTAGCTGGCACCTGTAATAAGATTGACTACTACGAGTTAACTCGTACTTGGCAGCGAACGTGTTAAATCACCTTCAAATTCATCATCTTCAATCATAACTTTATGGGGTCTACCACGTTTTCTCATTGGTCTAGTAGGTGCCGGATCAACTTTATCATCGGATTTAAATTTTGTCAATGCTGAGACATGATATTTTCCGAGTACCTACATTTTGTGAATCATTTATAGATGAAATCTCATAAGTAGTTGGGGATACCATTTTAATAATTTGAGATTGGCTATCTCTTTTTGGAGCAAATTTAGTTGAAAAAAAATATTTAACATTACTAAGGCAGTGACTATTAACAAGAACTTTTTCACCACACTGGAATATATAGGTGCTTCTCTTCTGTTCTTGTCAGCATATTTCTTAGATTTATCTTGTTGAATTTCATGTACACAAGAATGGTAGGTAAAGATCTCAGGTAAGGAGTAATTTCACACACAAAATAGGGATGTTCACTATTTTTCAGTTGTAATAAAAAGTGGTGGTTTTAGGTCCACAAAACACGAATTAAGCGTTAAAACATCTAGAAACCCTTTATTTTTTCTGATAAATCGAAAGCAAAAAAACGAAATTACCGAGGCTAGCAAAACGACCCCCTGCGGCGAGAGTATCACTTGTGACGTCACTGTGCGGAGCGAAAAATCAGCTGGCGCGTTGGCGAGATTTGTTTACAAGTTTACATTGGATTTATTGTGTTGCTGACTGTTGATTTATCCCAAGAAGCTTCATTCACTCCAATTATCTGTGTTTGTGTAATGATGGGAGACTCGAACAAAGTTGAACCGAGTCAAAAAGAGGTATCTACGTGCGTGTTTTTCTACGAGGTGCGAAAATGTGCTACTTTCTGCACGCGAATCGTTGCGTGAAGACGAGTTTTTCACACGCTCAAAAATGGGCCTGACACGAGCATAAAGTATGTTTTCCGCACTTGCGGCTTGCACGAATTCCGCTGGCTCGTCATTCGGGCAAATGCCGTTGCGTGCGGAAAAGTATAACTTTCCGCTCTTGTTACAGGTTTTTAACTATATATCATTGTTCAAATGCAACTAAAAATACTTGTTAAACGTTAAACAGACTCTCTCGTTAAATTAAAACCGAACCATAATAATAATAATAACAATAATATTAATATCAATAGTCTTTATTGCCAACAAAAATCGCTAAAGCACAAGAGGCTGATCCAAGTAGCTAGTAACGCCAGTGTACTTGCGCGTGCTAACTCATTACGCATTGTGACGTCAGACAGCGTTTCGTGCGTTTAAACGAATATCAATATTTCGTCTCCGTTTTTTTCATAGAAAGAATTTTCTGATTCTCGTAAAATTTTGTAGATTTACTTATGAAACGATGCTTAATAATTTGACGATGGTTAAACAGATTTTTTTTATTTTGTGAACATTCCAATTGTCATTTTCCGCAATGCTTCTCAGATCTCTATCATCAGGGGTTCCTACTCTTCCAAAAGTGGGGTAAGCAGCGGAATAACCTGTAGCTTGGGAATACAGTGTGTTCATAGAAAAACGGACTGCTGGAAGTTTTTCTTTCCATTTTGTATGGTCATTACCAACAAGTATGGAAAGCTGAAATTTCAGATCTCGATTTTTCCGTTCTGTAGGGTAAGCTTCTAGGTGGTATATGGGAATTAAAATTTGGTCAAATTTTAGGCAATATGCAACTTGTTACATTATTGCACTTACAAACTGGGAACCATTATCACTTATAACACGTCTGGGAAGGCCATATCTAAATATAACTTCATCTATTAGGCAACCAGCAGAATTTTCAGCGGATGCTGCCGTCAATGGGAACAGTTCTATCCATCTACTTATATTTTCTACTATGAAAACCCATTCGTAATAATCGTGCGCTTCAGGTAATCGACCAAATAAATCAATAGAGATAAGTTTCAAAACGCTGTCTTTGAATAGGAGTCTGTATTTGTCCTGCAGGTTTAAGATTTGTAGCTTCATAACGTTGGCAGTCTACACATTTATTAACATAATCAGATATGGATCTTCTCATCCCAGGCCAATAGAAGCGACTTGCAGTTTTTTGATAAGTACGTTCTACAGCATAATGGCCAGCTAATGGCGAATCGTGGTACTCGGCAAGGATTTGAGGAATTGGGATTTCGGTACTACTTGTTGAGCTTCATCTTCATCTAATTCAAGGACATAACGGTATAGTACGCCACAATTCATGATTTAGCCTCTCTCAGTCCATCTTTTAAAATCAACATTAGAACCATTATCAGAGTTTTCAAAACATTGGATTATTTTATCCAGACCTGAGTCATTCATTTGTTCACGTCTGATCTGATTTACTTTTTGTCGAGGTAAATGGACAATAACAAGATTGGCTTCTGCTGCAAGACTTGCAGGGCGAGATAACATATCAGCAACAACATTATCTTTTCCAAGATTATTTTCAATGGGTACATAAATCAAAAGATTGCAAAGCTAAAGACCATCTTGCTAATCTGCGTGAAGGTGATTTGAGTGTTATAAGCCATTTCATGGGCTGATGATCACTTTTGATGATATCATCAGCACATTCTAAATAGCCTCTAAATTTGTCAGTCACGGACTAAACGACTGCTAGGGCTTCTCGCTCTGTTGTACTGTAATTTTACTCAGCTGATGTTAATAAACGACTGGAGTATTCTATGGGTCTTCCTTCTGACCCCTCCCCCTGGAGTAAACATGCGCCAATGCATAGCTAGACGGATCCGTCTTATTAGGATCAGCTTGCTGAAGAAAAGGGCTAGACGTTGAAAGCGATTTCAGATTTTCAAAAGCATTGACTCGATCTGAGCCCCAGATTCATTTGACTTTCTTTTTTCTGAGAGAAAGTAGGATGTTTTGAAATTCCTGCAAAGTTTTTTATAAAACGTCGAAACCAGGAACAAGTTTGTAGAAAAGAAAGTAGTTCTTTGACATTTCGAGGAATTGGTACCTATGTTAGAAATACCAGAAACTTTATTATCTGATGGGTTTGGAGCAATACCAGAAGAAGTTATTACATGACTGAGGTAATTGAGAGAAGAACAAGAAAATTTGCATTGAGTTTGATAAAATAATGTGGTAGTATACAAGTAATTTTTAACTACTGCGTAGTGATATACTCGACGTATCCTACCGGTACTATTTAGTGTAATCAGTTTTGTAAAAACCAAAATACACTGGAATTTTATTTTTCAAATTTCCTCTCAGCCCCGCCCCTACGAGAAAATAAATTTCGTGACGTAGTTAGTTTTTCTAATCTGGCAACACATCACGGTTTTGAGAACATTTTGCACCGACATTGACAGTCAAGAACGAAATGTCAAATTCACTACATCAAACAACGTGAACAAGTTACTATAACAATGTCACATGTCACACGATACCACACGTCGTTGAACTGTTAGAGTCAGCTGTCGTTTAGAGGCATTTTGAGCAGTGTTGCCAGATGG